CACTGGTAAACACAGACATCACAAGATTCTGATTTCACCTCAATAAAGTATAGTGCTGGTCGTCAGACAATTAATGAGTCAGTCTACCCACAGCTGCTATTTTAGTTATAGGTGAAGACTGATGGGCTGGGTTATTCAGGCTATACATGTGTCGTTTTCCAAACAAATTTTCTTTAGAAAATCAGAAATTTTGTGCATTTTGTAATGCGATGGTGCCACCATTAATTTCGAAATTCAACCAACCAAGCTTTAAATTTCTCCTTATGTTGCTACAGAAAAGAATTTTCGTGGCCAAGAATTTTCTTTTCTTTCAAGGTCACAGCTTTATATTCCTTGTGCAATTCTCCCATCATTGATTTGAAATTTGTTAGTTTTTAAAAAAATTTCCAACATGCCCAATCACGCAAATTTGATAGTCACACAAAAATCAGCCGTTTCTGTGACCCACTAATGGTGCGCAATTTGAACAAAAATTCTTAGAAAAGATTTTCGAAAGAAAATTCTTTTGTAATTCGACCCCTGTATGGCTGGCTTTAGCCCCTGTTTTTTAAGCCAGGAATACTCCAAAAAAGAAGTCATTCGGCCCTTATTACCAACTCTGTTATTGTCCGCTTGAGAGTTGTTGGTGTTCCCATCCAACTTTCCTTGTTCCAGCATCACCTATTGCATTCTCCATGACAATACTGCATATAAATTAAAAATTCAATAAGGAGAGTTGGAGTCCCTCATAATAACCACAGAAAGTATACAGAGGCAAGAAGTGCTGAGATTTTATAAATAGAATCCAAAAAGAGATATTACAAATAGGTAATTTAACACATCCAAACAAAAAGGAAAAATATCCAAAAAACATCCAAAGAAGTAAATTGGTTTGGTTGCAGTGACAATATCGGCACACATCTAAATACGTTTGAAAAAATACCTACAAGCTGCTTTAGCCGACAAAGGATATGCTGGCCAGTTTTACACTCCTGTATACTCTGCAGTTACTTATTCTTGTAGTAAAACCCCTGTATGTGCTCTTCCAATTCGTGGGGGAAAAAGGGACGTAAATTCAATTTGGGTGCAGGGTTGCATAAACCGCGCAATTGTCAGTTAAAGTAACACAGCGCCGTAACACAAAAAATGGCCTGGTCAGGAGGGGGGGAGGTAAATCCTCAGGAGGGCAAGTGGTTAAGCTGTTAAAATTGTCCTGTTGTTGGCCAATTTTACACGGCAGGACAGTTTTACAGTTATCAACGTGAATATTCAACCCCCAACCTGTAAAGGGGTTTAGGGACTATACTGGTACATTTGGAATTTATTCAGAATCAAATCCTTAAGGACGTTGTAACTACCCAAATGCAACTAAAATGACATCAATTGTTTATCAGTTTTTATGTAAAATGGTTCTTATGTGGTTTCTTCATTGCCACAATTATTCAACCCCCTTAAAGACTACCACTCTGAAGAACAGAGGTTCATACAGGTTTTCCATCAGGTATTGAAAACACCTGTGGATTGTCACCGAGCAGCAATCAAGCATAATAAGCACCAATTACTTTAAAATGAATACTCAGCTCCTTCTAGACATTTACTGGTGTGGTTAAACTAGGCAGACAATGGTCCAAAGACAAGAGAAGAGGTGATTTTTTCACAGGAAGTAAAATGGCTCAAATGCACAAGATGTTAAACTGCTTGTCATTCGCAAATTCAAGGCAAAGGGCACTGTTGAAACGCTACCTGGTCGTGGCAGAAAGAAAGCTGTGCGCTACCTGAAGCGTAGAGTGGAGAGAACAGGAACTGAGAAAAATTTGTCCAGATGTGGGTAAACCAACACTGCGTAATGAAGGCCTCCGTGCCAGAAACTCCCAGGCGTACCAACAAAGAATAAGAAGAGTCGACTGCAGTATGCAAAAAAGCCATGTGGACAAACCACAAAGTTGCCTTTAGTGTTCTGTGGACTGATGAAAACAAAATTAGTAATGTTTGGGGCCACATAACGCTATGTTTGCTATGATGAAAAGAATTAACTGTGAAGCATGGTGGAGGGTCATCATGCTTTGGGGCTGTTTTGCAATTGCAAGGAATCAGCGTGTGCAAGGTACCATGAACAGTACCAAAATTTGGAAACGTGATGCAGTCAGTCACACACCTGATTTCAACAGGACAATGATCCCCAAAACCCAAGTCACACTAGAGCATGGTTGCAGAGGAAAGGCTGGACATTTTGGAGTGGCCATCGCAGTCACCAGACTTAAATCCGATTGAGAACCTCTGGTGGGACTTAAAGAAAGCAGTTGCAGTGCGCAAGCCTAAGAATGTGACTGAACTGGAGGCCTTTGCCCATGAAGAATGGGCGAAGATACCCGTAAGTCGCTGCAAGACACTTGTGTCAAGCTATGCTTCACGTTTAAAGTGCTGTTAAACTGCTAAAAGGATGCTGTACAGTACATTGAATGGTCACTTGGGGGTTGAATAAAACTGATAATGCTGTCAGAAAAGACATTTGTGGTTATTTCATTATAACTGTTAAATTTGTCCTGACCTACAAGTGCCTCTTTAATGTTGTAATTGACTGAATGATCAAAAGCAATGTCAAACTGGCCAAAACACTCAATTTCAGTGGGGGTTGAATAATTTTGGTCACAACTGTATATCAACGTGAATAGGGACAACCACGGAGAATTACTGGTCAACTTTTATCTGTTGGTTAAAAGTGGTCCTACTACCATATATCACTGCTAAAACTACCAGACAAAATGCCTTTTCCTCACAGTAAAATCAATCACATTGGGTTGCTGCTGCTGTATTAACACCAAGATAATTGTAAAGAACAAAAAATTCCAGAGCCAAATATGCACTGCCAACCTATTCTGCTGTCTGTGAAAATCATACTGTTCCGTAATTTCACATATAGCTTCCCCTAAGCATGGTATTTAAAGCTCCAGTCAAACCTAAAAAAAAAAAAAGTCTGCAGACTTTTACCAAAACCGTAGCTGCTGACTTAGAAAAAACAGCCACTCACCAACCGTCCTCGCTCCCCGCCACCAGCGTCCTAAGTGTGGGAAGCCGGCTGTGACAGCTTGCGGCTTCACAGCTGGGTTCCCACTGCTCATGCGTGAGTAGTGCTTCACCTTGTGAAGGGTCCCGTAGTCTTTTGAGACATGTGACAGGTCCCTATAAGGGAGGGAGAGAGGACAGCTTCTGTTTCCAATCGCCAAGGCAGTTGCAGCGGAAGTGGGAGCGGGTACCTATCAGAATTGGGTACCCGCTCCCCAAAGGCACCAATTCCTCACAGGGAGCGGGGGGGCAGTACTTAATGCAGAACTTCCCCTTTTGGGTGGAGCTCCGCTTTAAAGGATTTGTGTATCATCAATGTTGCCCTCGGAGCTGCATGAAAACACCTTTGCAGTTAATCTCCATAGAATTTAATAGAGGTAGTTAATAAGTTCGGGTTGGATGAATTGAAAAAGGATTTGCTCATCCCAGGTTCATACTTACTCTTACCTAATAACTTTCTCTATAAAGTGGTTGTAAGCCTCTGAAATGGAAAATGAACTGAGCATATCCTTCTATAGTGTGAACATACCTCAATCCAAAGCACTGACTGTGATTACTGTCTGCAGTCTGGTTCGACGTACGAACATGGCGGCAAAGGAATTAAAGTGGTAGTAAACCTCAGACAAGCGATGCCCGTAGCAAAAAAAAAAAATGGGGAAGGGCAAACATGACTATGTGAAGAGGGGTAGGAAAGACAGTAAAGGGTTAAGGAATGGTGGGAAGGTTGAAAAACATGTAGATTTACTGGATTGATGATGGGTAGTGCAGGGTGGGGTCTTCGGCACCTTTGGGAGTGGTGGACGGTTCAACGATCCAGTACAGGAGTGGCAGCAGAAGAGGAAACTTCCCTCCCACCCTCTCTTGTGGGTTGTTTGGGTCTTTCAGTTTCCGGTTTTGTTCTGGCTTTGGGGCGGGTTGTTGGTCTTTGGAGGCGGCAAATAATTTTAGGCTAAAGCGAATGGTTGGGGCCCATCAGTGGCATGGTGTACAGAGATGCATTCTGGTTAACCAAGGTTTAACTGGAAGGTGGAGGTTCTGCACTGCGGATGGTGTGTTTTGTCTCCGAACCGGTGCGTTGCGGCTGGAGGCTTAGTTTTAATATTATTGTTAGGGTTCCGCAGGGGGATATCGGTATTGTTTTGTGCCTTCTAAAACTAACAACATTTTCCTGTATGTTTCTGTTTTAAGGAATGTTTTTGTGTTATTTAAGTTGAATTGTTAATAAAAGGCAGTGATTGCCATTTTACTCCAATGGTGGTTCAGTCTCCTTCACTGGTATTTTGAGAGCTGGGGGGGGGGGGGTATGGAGTGAAAGAGAGAGAGAGTTGTGTAGGTCATGGTTTAGCAGCTATGATCTTAGCTAGCACATTTCTTCTACACTAGTCATGAAATCTGAACAAAGCACATATTTCTATAGTGTTTACTTGTCTCTCTCCAAAGCACTAAGTGTCATTTCTCTCTACTGTCTACTTCCTCTACTATCTGCATGAGTCACTTCTGACAGGTTATACTCACTCCAAGGGATCCAAGGGACAGGGGAGGGGTGCTTCAGCATACAACCTGTGATTGACAGCTTCAGTTGTCTATGTTTTTCTAAGAGGCTGTGTAGAGTTTGGTGTGTCCATTACCTCCACTCAGGTCTCAGATTACACTCAGCTCCCTGCTCTATGCTGTGCAGTGTGTGATGTCAGATTCCCGCTCCCTGCCTTCTGACAATCAGAAATGCTGTGTAAACTGTACACTGAACAATTGTGAATGAGATGGTGCAGATAAACAGGTACAGCTTATATAGAAGGCTTTGTTTCATATCTGTGTATCTTATGAGTAGAGATAAGCGAATTATTCAAAAATTCGATTCGGCTGATTCGGCGAATTCGCGGAATAAATTTGATTCGAGTCGAATATATTCGCTGCGAATTTAACTTATAAAAAGGGTGTTTCTAGGCTTCAGAGAGCCTTTATATTAGTGCAGAACACTGTACCTTTAATTTAAATGCCCTTGGAGTCTGCTGGGGAAGAGAAATAATACTGTCAGTCAGTATGACATGCAGATGAGTGCCGTCGATCTTAGAATCACCGCACACTTCACTCATTTGGGCAGTCACGGGGCCAAAACCAGAGTGTGGAGCCACAGTGTGGCGGTGGAGGCAGCAGCAATGGGAGGCCATACAGCACCCTATGAAAAAGTGGAACCCACCAGCAGTGTGAGGAGACCTGAAAGTGGCACATGGCAGAGTGTGGCAATGGAGACAGCAGCAATGGGAGGCCGTACAGGGACCCATGACACACTCTGGACCTGGCAGCAGCATGAGGAGGCGGTACAGGGGCCCATGACAGATTACGGGCCTGGCAGCAGCATGAGGAGTCGGTACGGGGGCCCATGGCAGATTACGGGCCTGGCAGCAGCAATGGGAGTCCCGTAATCTGCCAGCACCCTATGACAAAATGGAACCCACCAGCAGTGTGAGGAGACCTGAAATTGGCACATGGCAGAGTGTGGCGATGGAGACAGCAGCAATGGGAGGCCTTACAGGGACCCATGACACACTCTGGACCTGGCAGCAGCATGAGGAGGCGGTACAGGGGCCCATGACAGATTACGGGCCTGGCAGCAGCATGAGGAGTCGGTACGGGGGCCCATGGCAGATTACGGGCCTGGCAGCAGCAATGGGAGGCCCGTAATCTGCCAGCACCCTATGACAAAATGGAACCCACCAGCAGTGTGAGGAGACCTGAAAGTGGCACATGGCAGAGTGTGGCGATGGAGACAGCAGCAATGGGAGGCCGTACAGGGACCCATGAGACACTCTGGACCTGGCAGCAGCATGAGGAGGCGGTACAGGGGCCCATGACAGATTACGGGCCTGGCAGCAGCATGAGGAGTCGGTACGGGGGCCCATGGCAGATTACGGGCCTGGCAGCAGCAATGGGAGGCCCGTAATCTGCCAGCACCCTATGACAAAATGGAACCCACCAGCAGTGTGAGGAGACCTGAAAGTGGCACATGGCAGAGTGTGGCGATGGAGACAGCAGCAATGGGAGGCCGTACAGGGACCCATGACACACTCTGGACCTGGCAGCAGCATGAGGAGGCGGTACAGGGGCCCATGACAGATTACGGGCCTGGCAGCAGCATGAGGAGTCGGTACGGGGGCCCATGGCAGATTACGGGCCTGGCAGCAGCAATGGGAGGCCCGTAATCTGCCAGCACCCTATGACAAAATGGAACCCACCAGCAGTGTGAGGAGACCTGAAAGTGGCACATGGCAGAGTGTGGTGATGGAGACAGCAGCAATGGGAGGCCGTACAGGGACCCATGACACACTCTGGACCTGGCAGCAGCATGAGGAGGCGGTACAGGGGCCCATGACAGATTACGGGCCTGGCAGCAGCATGAGGAGTCGGTACGGGGGCCCATGGCAGATTAAGGGCCTGGCAGCAGCAATGGGAGGCCCATAAATCTGCCAGCACCCTATGACAAAATGGAACCCACCAGCAGTGTGAGGAGACCTGAAAGTGGCACATGGCAGAGTGTGGCGATGGAGACAGCAGCAATGGGAGGCCGTACAGGGACCCATGACACACTCTGGACCTGGCAGCAGCATGAGGAGGAGGCGGTACAGGGGCCCGCAGAGTGGCGAAGCGTAAGCAGCTTAAATTGAAGGCCATACAGAGGCCTATGTTAAAAATAATAACATGTTTGGGGCATGATTCATGGCAGATTTAGTCAGTTGTGTCAGGAACTGGTGGTTTGAAATCCAGACTAATCCACGCCTGATTCATTTTCACAAACGTGAGTCTCTCCACACTTTGGGTGGACTGTCGTGTCCTCCGCGGAGTTACAATACCTCCTGCCGCACTAAACACGCGCTCCGATGCCACGCTACTGGCCGGGCATGACAGCCTTTCAAGGGCAAATTCAGCTAGTTGGGGCCAAAGGTCAAGTTTCGTTGCCCAGTAGTCAAGGGGATTGTCTACCTCGGTTGGCAGGGTGCTGTCCAAGTAGGCCCAAGCCTGTTGTTTGAGGTCCTGCTCCAGGTCCACCTGATGCTGCTGCTGCTGCGGCTGGTTAGTAGTTTCCTCACTGCGCTGGTGAAGAAAGCTACTCATCATCGACTGCAGACTGAGGCAGCCGCTGCTGGTGGAGCTGCCACTGCTCCTACCACCCCACCCCTCCCCTGCTGCCATGGCAGCGGAACGCGAGCGCACAGGGCCCACAGTGTCTGAGGATGGACGTTGGCGCAGAAAGGCAGAGACCAACTGACTACATAGGTGGTTTTTATAGTACGTTATTTTGGCCTCCCTCTCAGCAGGTGTGAAAAAGGCCACCATTTTTGAACGGTAGCGAGGGTCCAACAAGGTGGACAGCCAAAAGTCATCCCTCTGTCTGATGGTTATTATTCGGCTGTCGCTACGCAAGCAACCGAGCATGCTATGGGCCATTTGTGCCAAGGAATGCGAGGGACTCCCTGCCTCCATCTCCACAGCATACTGCCACGGTGCGTCTGGGTCCTCTGTCTCCTCCTCCTCCTCCTCTACCAGATGCTCCTGCTCCACTCCTGTCCGCTGAGTGGAAAAACCACCCATTTCACTCAATAATTCCTGAGCACAATGTCCTCCTCTACCTCCTCCTCTTCTTCCTGTCCTGCCCCCACAGGGGTCATGTGGCGTTGAGATCTGTGCGCCACGTCTACCGCACCCTGACCAGCCATTGTTAACAGCATTTGTTCCAGGACGTGCAACAGAGGAATGACGTCGTTCATCCCATAGTCCTGCCGACTCACGAATAGCGTGGCCTCCTCAAAGGGCCTGAGCAAGCGGCAGGTGTCACGCATGAGCTGCCAATGGCTGACATCTAAGTTACACAGGGGAGTACCTTTATCCGCTTGTAACATCAGGAAATCGGTGATGGCCTTTCGCTGTTCGTAAAGGCGGTCTAACATATGTAGGGTTGAATTCCACCTTGTTGCAACGTCGCAGATCAGGCGATGCTGTGGAATTCCGTTCTGCCGCTGCAGCTCAAGGAGGGTGTGCTTTGCGGTGTAGGAATGGCTGAAATGCATGCAAAGTTTACGTGACATTTTAAGGATGTCTTGCAGTGGGATGGTGGATTTTAGGAACCGCTTGACAACCAGATTGAACACGTGAGCCATGCATGGCGCATGGCACAACCTTCCTTGACGCAGAGCAGACACCATGTTCTTTCCGTTGTCGGTCAACATGGTTCCGATTTTCAGTTTGCGCGGAGACAGCCATCTGTCGATTTCTCTGTTCATTACACTCAGAAGTTCCTCCCCTGTGTGACTACGTTCGCCAAGGCATACCAGGTGCAGCACAGCGTGACACCGTTGCGCCCTGCACATGTGATATGCCGGTCGGGTAATGGGACTTGGCACGGGGGTGGCGGCTGAGGACACGGCGGAAGAAGAGGTGGTAGAGGCGGACATCTTTGCTGGACCAAGGACGTGCAAACGTGGAGGCAAAAGCGGCGTGACCTGTCCAAGTTGCTGGTGCGGCTGTGCCGGCACCACGTTCACCCAGTGGGCCGTAAATGACATGTACTGTCCCTGACCGTACCGTAATTTACAGCTCCACACGTCGGCGCTGCCGTGCACTTTGGCAGAGACCGACATGCTCAAAGACTGGCCCACCATCTCTTCTACATGTGAATGCAGGGCTGGCACTGCCTTTTTGGCGAAGAAATGCCGGCTTGGCACTCTCCACCGCGGCGCGGCACAAGCCATCATTTCTCGGAAAGGTGCTGAGTCCACCACTTGGAAAGGGAGGGACTGCAGCACCAGCAACTTGGACAGGAGGACGTTCAGCTTCTGCACCGTCGGGTGCGTGCTCGCAAACTGTTGTCTCTTGGAAACGGATTCCAAGAAAGACTGCTGACGGAATCCGTGAAGAGGAGTAGCAGGAGAAGGAGCATCTGAACGAGCGGAAGATGCCAACGAGCGACAACTCCCCTCAGCAGAGGTGTTGGAGCCTTGACTGGCTGATAGAGGGCGATTGACGTCGGGTGACGGAGCAAGTAACGGAGCGGGTGATGGAGCGGGCTGGGGCAGGCAGAACCGCCGTATCTTTATCACGGTTTTCCCAGGCCACCGAATGGCGACGCTGCATATGCTGACGCAACGCTGTAGTCCCAACATGGGCCCCCTGGCCACGCTTGACTTTCTGGCCACATAGTCGACATACGGCTACGTTTACTTCCTCGGGCGGCTTGACAAAAAATTGCCACACCGCCGAGTAGGAAACTTTGCCCCCGCTACTCCTCACTGGCTGACTGCTACTTCCTCCGTGCACACCGGCACCACTACTGGCCGTGGTGGTAGGCTGCAGTGGAGCTGGTGCTCTACTCCCGTGGCCGTTTGCCTCCACTGACACTGCTGCAACCCTGCTGCCTCCTGGGCAACCCACCGACTGTTTTGCTCGCTGCCAAGCTGCACCCTCTTCTCCTGATGATGCGGAAGCAATAGCCTGATGACGACGAGGCTGCCAGTGCGATCAGCCTCATCATCATCAATTAGGGTCTCCGCCTCACTACTAGCCCCCTCGGCTGCGTGTGGGTCAGGAGACAGACCTGTCTCTAGACCGGCTACCGAGCCACTCTCCTCGCCACTACTTCTTCGCCTGGCTGCTGAAGAGGCGGATGTCTCCCCCCGTTCCTGACCGCCCTCTGTTAGCTCTTCCTCACTGTACAGTGGGGCTGAGCCCACAGCATGCGATACTTCGCTTGGTGAGGGAACACCAAAGGACAGGGGCAGGTAGAGGACACGTGATTTCAGTGGGCTTGCTCCCGGGCCATGCCAACTAACGGTTGTGTCTGACGTACCCACCGACCATTGGCTGTAGGTGTCAGAGGTGACCTGGGAAGAGGAAGACGACCGAGCCAACCAATCGATGACGGCAGGGTTGTCGGTGGAGACACGACCGCTGGATGACACCGGGAGCACTGGCCTCTGGCTGCGAATAGTGCTGCCTCGACCCCTTCCTCTGCTGCCACGTCTGCTCGCTCCTAAAACATTGCCTCCTCTGCCACTCCTCTGCGTGTTGTCTGACATACTCTTTAATTAAACGATTCTGTGTCCCTGAATAACAATTCTGTGTCTGTCCCTGAGTAACAATTCTGTGTCCCTGAGTAACGTTTCTGTGGCCCTAAGTAACAGTTCTGTGGCCCTCAGTAACAATTCTGTGTCCCTCAGTAACAATTCTGTGTCTGTCCCTCAGTAACAATTCTGTGTCTGTCCCCGAGTAACAATTCTATGTCCCTGAGTAACGTTTCTCTGGCCCTAAGTAACAGTTCTGTGGCCCTCAGTAACAATTCTGTGTCCCTGAGTAACAATTCTGTGTCCCTGAGTAACAATTCTGTGTCTGTCCCTGAGTAACAATTCTGAGTCTGTCCCTGAGTAACAATTCTGTGTCCCTCAGTAACAATTCTGTGTCCCTCAGTAACAATTCTGTGTCCCTGAGTAACAATTCTGTGTCCCTGAGTAACAATTCTGTGTCCCTGAGTAACAATTCTGTGTCTGTCCCTGAGTAACAATTCTGTGTCTGTCCCTGAGTAACAATTCTGTGTCTGTCCCTG